TGGGGGGGGGGGAGGGAGTTCCCATGTCGCTCGTTTGAATTTTAAAACGTCTTGTGGCGGTGTTTATAAATGCTGCAAGTCGCTGTTGGAAATTGAACAAAAATTCTTTGTCCTCAAACATCCGCTCGTTTGAGGAATTTTAAAACGTCTTGTGTCGGTGTTTATAAATGCCTCAAGTCGCTGTCGGAAATTGAACAAAAATTCTTTGTCCTCAAACATCCCTTTCGTGGAGATGTAGCATAAAACTAAGCTATTTGACAGACAACCTCGTTCTCAGGTCTCCTAGGAATTGTGCGGGGTTGCATAAATGAAGTGTAATGTGACGCACGCTCAGGAGGTGTCCATTGAAATTCACTGACAAGAGACGTTCTCTGAAGTGCAAGGAAAATTGATGGAAATTACTTCTTCTTAGCATTCAGACTGGGGATAAATTAGCCAAACCACTGCTCTTTGTCACTTATTCTCAGCTCTGCCATCACTTTCACAGTTTGGCTGAGAGAGGTTGTCCCTTTTTGCCATTTCATTTTACGCTCTGTCGTGCTTTTTGGGTCATGTTGCTTGTCGGAATTTACCCTGGAAGGGCCCCTGTTATTTGAAAGCCCAGTATGTAGGTACTGTAAGCTTATATAAAAGTATGTAAAAAGTAGTTTAGATGGTAAGGCATTGTAAAGTAACGTTTTGACTCATTTTATTGATTTGTTGATAATCCACCTGATACTGACATCAGGTAAACTGAATGAATTCTTGGCAAGTCAACTTAACTAGCTACAGGCGTGGATCCACACCAGTTTCCACCATTTTATGAAAATCGACCTGTGTCAGAGTTTTCAAAGATAAATAATTTTTTTACGAAAAAAAACTTTGCATGTTAAACTCTGGCCAACATCCGGACTGAGTGACTCAGAAACTCAGGAAAGGTGACTTTGGGAGTAAAAATTATCCAAAAAAATTTCATGGGGGCGCATGCCCCCAGAACCTGCTAGAAGCTTACGCCTTTGACGCTCGGTTAGGAAAATGGTCAACGTTTATCCTAGGTCTACTCCTGAGCACACAGCTAGCAAATTAGAGATAAGGATTTTTCAAAGCCTGGTTTCGGTGGAGGCGGGGGAGTGGGTCACACCATGTCACACCTAGCTATGTTTCTTACCAGATTGTTATGTCAACATGCATGCATTGTTTTACTATCAGTAATACTATTATTTTTTCTCATGAGCAGTTTACGTGAGTAGGGACCAACTTTACAAAATAGCTGTTTAAAGGAATCATGTAGATATTATGGGAAAGACCGAATATAAATGTTGGCTAGATATTTACTAAATATGTTGTCTAAACTGTATAGAAACCAAAAATACTTTGATACAGAGAAATTTTAACAAATTGCTTTCAGACAATGGATTTTGTCAAACATTTGCATATGTAAGATGGCTTAGATGTTGTCATTCAAAGACAATGAATCTTAGGATTTTAGCATGGACTTTGGTTTTTCAATTTTTTCGCATTATATTCGCAAAAAGGGAAAGGGATGCCTCAGCCTCGTTCCGAGTTGTCCTCGGCGATTTCGGATGTGATGTCACCTGTCAAGCTTGTCGGGAAAATTCGCTGGGGACTCACACTAGGTTCCAAGCCTCCCTTGGTAACTCAGATAGCATGAACTGGCCTGGGTACGAGGCTGGGGATGTCTCTCACAATGGGGGATCATAGGGATCATGGGTGTCCTAGGATCCCCTCTCCCCTTTCCTAACTACCGCCTTACCCCCTAACCTCCCCTCCCCCACCCCTGCTGGTACAAATTGTATACTTTACAAAATGTAGGTTCATGTAGATCATTCTCTTTCCTGGCAGGATATGTGTGATTACCCTTGCTCCTAGTCATCCATTACTAAAATGTGAGCAGATTACTGATGTGAATTATCAAGTGAGTGCCAAGGTTAATCGCCTTGAAAACAAAGTTTCAGGCAAAGGCAAAAAAGGAGCACAGCATTTACAGCCAGAATCAATAATCTGTGAAGTCACTTGTTCTACTGGGGCCAAATACACGCTCTACAGGTAAAATTGAATTAAAATTTAAAATTTATTTCAAATTTACCAGTCCCTGACAGTACAAAACAAACTAAGAGTTTTAAAGCAAAGAAAATTTAAGATTTGCAATGAGTGGTGAGGAAACCTAAGTGAAACCATAGGGCTATAAGTTGAGGAAATAGCCAAATTTCTGACTAAAATTGAACGGATGAAACGAAAGAAAACTCAGGAAATATGGCTTGATGGATGTCTTCCACTTTTTGAAGTGTATCGATATCTGGTGGGAAAAAAATCTGTTTATATCCTGAAACTGTGCTTGGAACATGCGGACAATACATATGTTTTGAAGAAAGTCTAGTAGAACTTTTCGTCATACTAATGAGCCTCATTTTTAGTTATTATGGAAGGTAAAATATGCCTCCTGTTGAGTTGATTGTACTATTGAGAAAATTTTGTCTCTGATGCTAAATGGGGGTGAATATCTTTTTAGTGGACGCGAGAAGCAAACTGATTTTTTGATTTACATGTAAGGAAAGAAAACTACTGCAGTGCTACTCTTTTTCTTTAAGAACGAAAGACAATTATTGTTATTCATGCATCACTTGCAGTCTACCAGACTGCAAGTGCTACAGCAGAGGCTACATTTTTGCTGTGTGAGCTGTTGAGTGAAAAGTAGCCTGTGCCAAGAACCATTCAATTTTCTATTGTGCATGCGTGAAATTTGTCACGCGATTCGCAAGAAAAATTTATTGTCAGGTCTGTTGTCAAATGGTGCGAGTTTTGCAGGAATAAAAAAAATTGTGACAACTCTGATCTGCTACGCAAGACTTATGCAAGACTCACGCAATGCTCTAAACCGGTCAAGAACAGGAAAAAAACTCAGGTTTTTANACGTGAGTAGGGACCAACTTTACAAAATAGCTGTTTAAAGGAATCATGTAGATATTATGGGAAAGACCGAATATAAATGTTGGCTAGATATTTACTAAATATGTTGTCTAAACTGTATAGAAACCAAAAATACTTTGATACAGAGAAATTTTAACAAATTGCTTTCAGACAATGGATTTTGTCAAACATTTGCATATGTAAGATGGCTTAGATGTTGTCATTCAAAGACAATGAATCTTAGGATTTTAGCATGGACTTTGGTTTTTCAATTTTTTCGCATTATATTCGCAAAAAGGGAAAGGGATGCCTCAGCCTCGTTCCGAGTTGTCCTCGGCGATTTCGGATGTGATGTCACCTGTCAAGCTTGTCGGGAAAATTCGCTGGGGACTCACACTAGGTTCCAAGCCTCCCTTGGTAACTCAGATAGCATGAACTGGCCTGGGTACGAGGCTGGGGATGTCTCTCACAATGGGGGATCATAGGGATCATGGGTGTCCTAGGATCCCCTCTCCCCTTTCCTAACTACCGCCTTACCCCCTAACCTCCCCTCCCCCACCCCTGCTGGTACAAATTGTATACTTTACAAAATGTAGGTTCATGTAGATCATTCTCTTTCCTGGCAGGATATGTGTGATTACCCTTGCTCCTAGTCATCCATTACTAAAATGTGAGCAGATTACTGATGTGAATTATCAAGTGAGTGCCAAGGTTAATCGCCTTGAAAACAAAGTTTCAGGCAAAGGCAAAAAAGGAGCACAGCATTTACAGCCAGAATCAATAATCTGTGAAGTCACTTGTTCTACTGGGGCCAAATACACGCTCTACAGGTAAAATTGAATTAAAATTTAAAATTTATTTCAAATTTACCAGTCCCTGACAGTACAAAACAAACTAAGAGTTTTAAAGCAAAGAAAATTTAAGATTTGCAATGAGTGGTGAGGAAACCTAAGTGAAACCATAGGGCTATAAGTTGAGGAAATAGCCAAATTTCTGACTAAAATTGAACGGATGAAACGAAAGAAAACTCAGGAAATATGGCTTGATGGATGTCTTCCACTTTTTGAAGTGTATCGATATCTGGTGGGAAAAAAATCTGTTTATATCCTGAAACTGTGCTTGGAACATGCGGACAATACATATGTTTTGAAGAAAGTCTAGTAGAACTTTTCGTCATACTAATGAGCCTCATTTTTAGTTATTATGGAAGGTAAAATATGCCTCCTGTTGAGTTGATTGTACTATTGAGAAAATTTTGTCTCTGATGCTAAATGGGGGTGAATAT